GGTTTAGGGACCTTTAAATAATATATATTCTAGAAATAGTTTAAGGACTTGTCCGATTTAATTGAATAAGCTAAGATTGCGTGTGTGTGCGCAATTTGAGAAACTTATTAGGCTCATTCTCTTCTTTATTCTAATAGAATACAATAAATATTAGTGATGCAAATTTTAAAATTGTTGATAATAAAAATAAATATTAGTAAAAAAAATTATAAAATAAAAATTGTTTTAAAAAATAAAAACATCTGATGAAGTCATAGAGTATTTTCTTTAATTGAATAATTAAAAAAAAACGGTTGATAAGTACTTGTATAATTGTATTTTATCCTAAAAGTTAGATTCGGATGGTACTTTTTTTTCAATTTAGGATGGTTGTTCTTAAAAAAAAAAAAAAAAAAAAAAAAAAAAAAAAGGTAAGTAATCTGGCAAATTGACATTTATCACCCAAAATCTCTCTTCACTTTATATATTAGATAAATAGAATAGTTTAGGGTAAGTTGGCAAATATAATGATGTTGAAAATAGTTTAGGGATCGGGTTGACACACGGCGCAATCAAATTGAATCAATAGCTACATTAATAAAAATTGTCATTTTACATTGCATTTCCCCAAGTTGATTGTTCATTTGGTGTAGAGGTGATCAAAAATCGGGTCGGACCGAGCCTTAACGTAATTTCTCGTGCCCAAACCCACAAAAAAGTAGCGGGCTTATCAGGCCAAAGCGAGCTTTTTGGGCTTTTTTCGGACTAGTTCGGGTTTTTAACTAAAAATGTATTTTTAATTTTTTCATACTTGTCCAAAGCCGCCCTATTTTCGGGCCGGATCCGACCGGGCTAGCGAGCCGGATCAATGTTGATCACCTCTAATTTGGCGGGATAAAAATCATCAGAAGCTTCTTTATATACTCATACTCCAAAAGACTCCCACAAGTTACTTTACATCTCAACTCAAACTTAAACTCAAAAACACGAGCTCCATTGTTATGTCTGGGTGGGAATTTGGAGAAGCATATAAGTCAAAGAAGAGGAAAATCACGCGACTACATTAACATCATTTCAAGGTATATTCACACTCATTTTCTATTTTTTCATTTTAATACTTTATTTTTATTCTATTGTCTTTCCTAATTTTCAAGACTAGACAATATTGCATTTTTTTCATTGCATAAATTTTTTTTAAGTCAACCAATCAATCAATAATCAATATAGTTAAATTTCTCTATTTTTGTCATGTATATAAATCACGTACAGATTTTTTTTAGGAAAAATTCATGGGAATAATCCCACCTTTGGGCCGTTCGTTTTTAATAATCCACCTTTGGATTATTTTTAAATAATCCCACCTTTACCCCCCATTCTTTTTTAATGGTCCCAACCGGTCATGTAACCTGTTATAACAGGTTACATGACACGTGACGGCCTGTGAATGGAAAAAAAAATTAAAAAGTTAGATTTTTAAAAGAAAAAAATAAAAAAAATAAAAATAAAAATAAAATAACCACCCAGCCCCCAACCACAGCACCGACACCGGCGTCGGTGCGCGACGATCCCCTCCCTGATCTGAGGAGATTTCAACTAAGGTGGGGTATGGGTGAAGGTGGCTGAGGTCGCAGT